GGGGGTTTATCATTGGACCCACCCCCCCCCTCAACAAAAAGCAAAACAAATGAAACGGAACCCCACAACAAGATTAAGTAGGGGGCGGTTTCTCTGATAAACCCTAAAGGCTAAAGCCTTTACTAGGTCATCTTTGGGTGTGCTAGCTTAAACACGGAGCCTTAAACGTTGGGTACTCAAGTTTGAGAGAACTGCCCTAAGTGTTAGTAGAGCTGATGGAAACTAAACACTAAACCCTAAACCCTAAACCCTAAGCCCTAAACCCTAAACACTAAACCCTAAACCCTAAACCCTAAGCCCTAAACCCTAAACCCTAAACCCTAAACCCTAAACCCTAAACCCTAAACCCTAAACCCTAAACCCTAAACCCTAAACCCTAAACCCTAAACCCTAAACCCTAAACCCTAAACCCTTCACTGGGATGCTCCTTTGCTGAGCTTTCCCTCAAACCAACCCCCAGATTGAGCCCAACAACCCAAGAAGGATGCTAGTGGGGCTTAGGGTTTAGGGTTTTGGCTTTAGAGCCTAAACCCTAAACCCTAAACCCTAAACCCTAAACCCTAAACCCTAAACCCTTGCAATTGCCAGGCAAGGCTGCGGCGAAAGCAGCTGCCGAGGCCCCATTGTCCTCACGGGATTTGGGGCTTGTGGGGGTTTAGGGTTTAGGGTTTAGGGTTTAGGGTTTAGGGTTTAGGGTTTAGGGTTTAGGGTTTAGGGTTTAGGGTTTAGGGTTCAGGGTAACCTCAAACCCGGGGGTTTAGGGTGTAGCTGCTCCTCAGCGAAGAAGTTTTAGGGTTTGGGGTTTCGGGTTTGAGGTGCAGGGCCGCAAGCTCTATACCTTAGACTCTAGGGCTAAGCTCACATGAGAGCCTCAAAAGAAGGGCACGAGGTCTTTCGTGTTGTGCACGCCACGCACTCGAAGGTGATACGGTGAGGCAATTTGATGCGTATGCTCTCCGGGTTCAGGACCCGCACCAGTGTTTAAAAGAAGCGCCCATGGCAAGGAATTCTCGTCCATGACATGAGTCGATAGCAGTATAGAAGGTACATCCAAGTTATAGGAACCCTAAATCCTAAACCCTAGTACAGCTGGAATGTTTCATGCAGTGCACTGGGATGAGGTTTCTGTTGGCGGCCTTGACCAATGACATTTTGTAGCTTTAGGGACTGATGGCCTGCCAAGAATGCACCCAGCCCTTCAATACGAGTAGTCAATACACCCTAAATGCTATTTACCCTAAACCCTAAACCCTAAACCCTCAACCCTAAACCCTAGACCCTAAACCCTAAACCCTGTATTTGCAGGTTTCACCCCTAAGCAAGCCCTAAACCCTAAATCCCTGGGTTGAGGGTGTATGGAGTTTAGGGTTGAGGATCGTTCGCCCTAAGATTTCAAGCGCTTAAAGTTTGGGGTTTCGAGTTGCTTTTAAGGGCTTTGAGGGTTGAGGGCTACCAAGGACTACTAAAGGGGTCGGAATAATTACTAATGGTGTTCCCTTTTGGTCCCCAAATAATTCTACTAATTCTGAACCCCCCCCCCCCAAAGCCGTAAACTACTCCATTAGCGGCGGGAGTTCCATGGGCTCGTACAGGCAGATTCTTCATGGGTTTAGGGTTTAGGGGGTTTAGGGTTTAGGGTTCAGGGTTTGGGGTTTAGCCATGGAACCCTCTTTGAATGAAGCACCATCCAAAATTCTAAACCCCAAACCCCAGGCCCTAAAGCTTATAACGCTTTGAAATCCCACAACCCTAACAACCCCCAAACCACCTACAGCAACCCTAAGCTCCAACACCCTAAACCCTAAACTCTATACCCTATACAAACCCTGAACCCTAAACCCTATAAACCCTAAAACCCTAAACCCTAGGACCCCAAACCCGAAACCCTAAACCCTGAACCCTGAACCCTGAACCCTAAAACCCTAAACCCTAGAACCCCAAACCCGAAACCCTAAACCCTAAACCCTAAACCCTAAACCCTAAACCCTAAACCCTAAACCCTAAACCCTAAACCCTAAACCCTAAACCCTAAACCCTAAACCCTAAACCCAACACGCCTTCACGGCCAGCACGGCCTCGAAGCCGCTTCGGCGGCCGCCGCAGCAGCCGCCAGTGCGGGTTCCACCCTTGGAAGAATTCAGGGTTTAGGGTTTAGGGTTTAATTAGGGTTTGGGGTTTGGGGTTTGGGGTTTGGGGTTTGGGGTTTGGGGTTTGGGGTTTGAGGTTTGGGGTTTGGGGTTTGGGGTTTGGGGTTTGGGGTTTGGTTTAGAGTTTAGGGTTTAGGGTTTGGGGTTTAGGGCGTTTAGTTGGCTTCCAGGGTGGAATTAGGGTTTATACGTGGGAAATCCGAGGGTTTACTCGTGGTCCACAGGGTACTTAAGGTTTATAGGGATTTATAACCTTAAACTCTAAACCCTAAACCCTAAACCCTAAACCCTGAACCCTGAACCCTGAACCCTGAACCCTGAACCCTGAACCCTAACATGTTTAGGGTAATAGGGGGTTGAGGGTTTAGGGGTGTGCAGCGGTTTTTCAGGCTTTGGGGGTTTGAGTTGTTCGGGCTTCGGCTCCTCTGGGAAAGATGGGCTGAGGGTTTGGGGTGTTAAGGTTTAGCAAGCCTTCTATGGCCATCTCGCCAAACACTGAAACTCTCAACCCGGACCAAGAACCCTAAAGCCCTAAACCCCCCAAACCCCAAGCCCTAAAGCCCCAAAACCCCTCAAGCCCTAAAGCCCAAAACCCCAATTCAAAACCCCAAAACCCCAAAACCTTCAACCCTAAACCCTAAACCCTAAACCCGGAAACCCTAAACCCTAAACCCTAAACCCTAAACCCTAAACCCTAAACCCTAAACCCTAAACCCTAAACCCTAAACCCTAAACCCCGAAACCCTAACCCTAACCCCCCCCCCCCCCCCAAGAAGCCGGAACCGTCCCAAGGGGAGGCGCTCCTCAAGGTCCGGGGGCTGGGAGTTGAAAAGCTTGTTTTTGCTGGTTTAGGGTTTAGGGTTTAGGGTTTAGGGTTTAGGGTTTAGGGTTTAGGGTTTAGGGTTTAGGGTTTAGGTTTAGGTTTTAAGGTTTTAAGGTTTAGGGGGGGGGGGGGGGGGGGGGGGGGGGGGGGGCGGTTTAGGGTTTAGGGCTGAGGAGGTTTAGGGCTTCGGACAGTTTGGGGCTTCAGGGATTTCGGGGGGGGGGGGGGGGGGGGGGTAGAGTTTTCGGTTTTCAGGCGTGTCGGGTTCAGGGCTTAGGGTTTGTTGCTCTCAGACTGGCTTAGACTCTTCAGAGTCAAGTACCTTCGAAATTTGCCTAAACCCCAAACCCAGACCCTAAACCCAAAGCCGATTACACGGTGACAGCACTGAAGCTCTCAGCGCAAGCGACACTAAACCCTAAGCCCTGAAGTTTAGGGTTTAAGGTTTAGGGTTTAGGGTGCCCTAAAGACTAAGCCCTACCCTGAACACCCTTCAAGAAGCGAGGAGTTCGGTACCTTGCATCCCCCTTACATATCCCTTACAAAAGCGCCCTGATCCCCTCAAAGCCCGAAACCATCAATTCCCTACCTAGAACCAGCTTGTAGGGAAGCTTGAACCTTACACCCTCTAAACCCTAAGCCCTAAACCCTAAATCCTAAACCCTAAACCCTAGACCCTAATAAGCCCTCTTGATATGGCCCTAAACCCTAAACCACAGAGAATTGGGTGCCCGATATCCCCTTACTGAACTGGGAAGTTTCATCGGGAACCCTGAACCTCGTGAGCTCTCAGCTCTTACAACCCCAGTCCCTCAACGCCCTACATTGGAAACACCCTCAACCCTAAGCCCTAAGCCCCAAGTCCTAAACCCTAAACCCTAAACCTAAACCCTAAACCCTAAACCCTAAACCCTAAACCCTAAACCCTAAACCCTAAACCCTAAACCCTACACCCTACACCCTAAACCCTAAACCCTAAACTTAACAAACTTCTTTCCAGGGATCCAAGCACTAAACCCTAAACCCTAAACCTCATAAAACTCCTTCCAGGGACCAGGGATCCCGAAACCCACAACCCTAGGGTTTAGGGTTTAGGGTTTAGGGTTTGGGGTTTAGGGTTTGGGGTTTAGGGTTTAGGGTTTAGGGTAAAGCCCAAAAAACCCCCTGAGACCGGGTAAGCTTGAGGCAGGCTTGGCAGAGCCCGCCGAAGCCGCCCGCTGTGCTGCCGCAGCGGGTTTGGTGTGGGCCCTTGTTGGGTGGGAGGGGGGGGGGGGGGGGGGGGGGCATGTCAGGGTTTGGTGTTTAGGGTTTAGGGTTTGGGGTCTAGGGTTTAGGGATGAGGGTTTCGGGTGTAGGGTGTAGGGTGTAGGGGTTGTTGGGGGCATTAGGGGTTAGAGTTGAGGGTTCAGTGGTCGGTGGTTTGTGGGCTTTTTGGCCATTTGAAAATGCGATTCTTTTTTGGCGCTTTTTCTCCGCCTGTGTGGAGACTGCGGGCTTGTTGGGCGCTAAGTTCAGGGTTTCGGGTTTAGAGGTGTATTCGGAGCAAGATCCCTAAACCCCAAACCCCAAACCCCAAACCCCAAACCCCAAACCCCAAACCCCAAACCCCAAACCCCAAACCCCTAACCCTTAACCCTTAACCCTAAACCCAAACCCTAAACCCTAAACCCTTAGTTAAGAAATAGCGACCCCTTAGCACCTAGTAGTGGTGCAGTAAGTCATAGCTACTGGGCCCTCGTGGTAGTGAGGTGTAGGCCATCCTTTGCATGTAGTTTCACTTAGCGAATGACAATGTATTTGGCTCAAGGCACATAGAAAAAGGTGAAGGTCTAATGCAGTTAAATGACTGCGGTAGGCCTCCCCGGTTGTGTCTTGTTCTCTTAACTGGTTATCAGTCCGTAAGCCCTCTTAGTTGAGACCTACCGCGGTGCCTAAGCTAGAAACCTAGCGCCCAGTAGCCCGGCAAGGGGCTGCTAAGGGTTAAGCGTGCAAAAGGGGAGCGCCCGGACGAGGGGCGGCTCCCCACTCTGATGGGCGCGCCCAGAGGCGAAAGGGGTGGCGAGCGAAAGCGACGTCAGCAGTTTTACGAGTGCCAAGACTTTGCTATCGCCGAGGCCCGTCGCCGTTTCGGTTTTGCCCTGAAAAGGGAAGACTTTCGGCAGCTGCAAAACACCGGCGCGGACACGTACATCGAGGCCGTGGAGCAGGTGTATTGGACGAACGGCCGGCAGTGGCAGTGGCTTTGCCGGGAGATTCCACAGCTTAGCATTCTGGTTCCCACCGAAAACGGGGGCACGAAAGGCAAAGGCAAGGGCAAGGGACAGCAGCCAAAGCCCGCGCCAGCTGCAAAGCCAAAGGCGAAGTCTGGGGCGACAACAGCAGTGAGGGACAAGGGAACACCGGCTCATATTGAGCCACAGTCCCTAGGAGAGCCTTCTGCTTTGAGCAGCGGGCCCGCGCACTCTGTCGAGACTCCGCTTCCTGCCACACCCGCGGCACCAGAGCAGCCACCGGCAGCAGGCGAGGAGGGAACAGAAGCTGAGGAGGAGGAGACGCCAACTGAGGACCCAGAGCACCTGAAGCTGGAAGAGGCCAAGGAGGAAGCGCCCGAAGTCACTAACTCAGGGGCAGTCGCTCCTGTGGTTAGTGACTCCGGTGCCGAAGGGTCTGCCGACGTGGACGTTCACACTGAGGCCGCTGTACATAGCCTTCACACTGAGGCCGCTGTACATAGCCCAGTTGTTGTGAGTAGCCCGCCGTCGCCAGATTTTTCAGAGAGGGCCCAGAGCGAACCCCCAGAGCGCCCAGCGCCACAGGGGCCGCTGCGTGCTAGGCCGCGTATCCTTAAGCCTCCCCAAGACCTTCCCCCTGGAACCTACCCCACAGTTCGTGTAGATCCCCAGGGCATTTGGGTTCTAGTCTCGGCTAATCCTAACGCTCCTCCCCTGACAGGGCAGCGTGTTGCAGAGGCGCCCCAGCCCACAGCAACCGATACTGCCACAGAGCAAATAGATCCCTTTGAGTTGTCCCAAAGACAGTGGGTAGATCTGGCTTCTGTGTTCAACGCCGTTCCGCGCTCTATTGACATAGCGGCCGCTCAGGTTGCTAGCGCAAGGGCGGGCGAGCGTACTGAAGAGGGTTTCTCCAGGCGAGGTTATCGAGGCGAGGTCCCCGTCACCAGCCCTGTCCAGGTCGCCACACCTAACGGCAGAAGGGGCAGCAGCTTCAAGCGCGCCCGTGCCACAAGCACTTGCCGAAGCTGACCCTACGTCCATAAGCCCTGTACCCTCACAAGCTCCGCTGCCACCGCCTGTGCCATTGCCACCGCAAGTTCGTCCTCCGCCGCCGCCGCCAAAGAAGCGGAAGGCAGAAGCAGAGGCAGTCGCCAAAGCAGGGTCGTTGACCGAGCCCCCTAAGTCCTCGGACCCTCGTGCAGGCGCCCACGCGACTGGGGCAGCCATTAGGTCTAGGAGCCCCCCTAAGGCCCCTAAAACAAAGGCCCCCCCGCACCTCGTGGAAGAAAGCCGTGCAAAGCTCCGCCCACCCAGCGGCTTAGGGAGCAACGCGAAGCCGTGCAGCTTGTCAAGGCAAAGGCGCAACAGCGGGAACAAGAGGCGCAGCGACTTCGGGCAGAGGCTGCAGCCAAGCCCTTGGTTGCACCAGCGCCCAGACAGGTGGGGCACCGCGAGCCGCTCTCAATCGTTTTCGATTGGCACAAGACGCTTGACTTAGGCCTCCGCCGGGGCCGGTGGTCGACGGCAGTTGTTGCGGCTCTCGCGCAAATCGCCCAGGAGCACCGCCCACTCACCTTTAGGGTCCTGTCCTTCACCGGTCAAGCACAAGCAGAGGCTCATAAGAACGAAGCTTTGCAAGCTTTACCTGCGTTGGAGCAACAGGCTGGCGTCAAATTCGCAAGCTTTGACCAGTGCTTTGAACGCACCGGTGCAGGTGGAAAGGCTTCACTCTTGTGGTCTTTGGGAGTTGTCGAGGGGCAGCTGCCAGGCGCCCACTTCTTGGTTGACGATAACAGGGAGATCGTGAAGGAGTCGAAGCGCACAGGGTGCCGCACAGTATTGGTGCAGAACGCCTACGGTCGTTACTACACCGAAGGTGACTTGCTTGACGCCATTCGTGCCTTGTCCGACTCTTTGCACGGGCTTGGCAACGAGCGCAACACTTTGCAAGGAGCGACCCAGCTCCAGCAGTCGCAGTACCTAGAGGTACTCCACCGCTAGGGTTTGTTGGGGATAAGGGGTTGCTATAAGCAAGCGCCCATAGGTTCTAAGGTTTAGGCCCGAACCCGTCTGCACGCCGCAGCTCCCAACCTTATCCCCTAAGCCGGCACTCCTCGCGCACCTTGCGTGCTTCATTGCCAATTGCACCTCTACCCTCTAAGCCTTAAAGGTTGTAGGTAGTTCCCGTGGTTTCCCTAAGCATCGTGCCCAACGACAGCGAAGGCCCAGGCCAGAGGGCAGGGGGGCAGCTCGGAGCGCCCAAGGGTTTTAAGGTTTAGGCCCAAAACCCGTGTGCACAAAGCTCGCCGCAATCCCCGCCTCTAAGCCCTAAGGTCCTCAGTCCCGAGAGTTTTCTTTTTGCAAGTGCACGCCGAAGCGCGAGCACACGCCCAAGTTATTTCACACCAGGAGGGGGCAGCCAAGGGCGCCCAAACATAGAGCAAGTAGCCTAAGTAAGGGATACATCTCTTAGGTTGCACCCTTCCTGTGTGTGTGCGTTGTACTTTCTACTTTGCATCGTCTGCGCATTTTGCGCCACATCGTCACATCGCTTGCGCATTTTGCGCCACATTGTTACGCAGCAGGCCAAAAGATTGTAAGCCGCAAAGCTAAGGGTATAAGGTAGGATGGCAGGCATAACCCCACCGTCTGATGAAAGGTCTAGGTCAAGTAGGGTAGGGGACTCGTCCTTTTCGGAACCCGAGCTCGCACCTCCACCCGACCTTCACATTGTACCTGCAGCAGCTACTCTAGTTCAGGAACAAAGGCCCATAAGTTCCAGACCACCGCTAATTAGACTTAGCACCGGTAGGGCACAGCGACAAGACTCCTCGTCCTCGCCCTCAGCCCGTGGATCCCAAAGGCCCCCCGAACTTAGTGCAACCCAGGCTTCTTTTCTCGCGGGTGCCGCAGTTTCGCACGCACACCAAAGCGCACAGGTTGCACTGCACGCCGCGAACACTGCACAGGCTCAAGCTGCAAGCTCTCAGGCTCAAGCCCAGCAGGTCGCTCAACAGGCCAGCGTGTGGGCTGAAAGTGTAATACAAGAGGCTCAAACCGTAGTGGACCAGACCCGTGCCCAGGCACAGGCCGAGGTAACCCAGACGAGGACAGAGGCCCAAACCGTAGTGGACCAAGCCCGTGCCCAGGCACAGGCCGAGGTAACCCAGGTTGTGGCCGAGGCAACGCAAGCAGTTCTTCACACCCGTGCCGCAGCACAGGAAGAGGTCTTAGCTTCACAGCGCGCAGCGTTGGAGCGTGTAACCCTTCTTGAGCAAGATCTTGCCAGAGCGCAGCGCGAAAGGGAGGAGAACGAGCGGAAGGTAGAGCAGCTTTTGGCTGAACGGCGCCTAGCAGAACACTACTGGGTGAACCGCGAAGTTGAACTCAACCAACAGCTCAGCGATGCCGCACTTGCTGTAACGACTCGTGCAACGCATTGGCCCAACATGTCCTTTTCACCTGACACCACAAGCCATAATGGCCCGGCTCCTTCGACTCCACTGCCAGTTGCCCGCCAGAGGGGCACGCCACAAGGTTCTCCTGTTGGTTCGCAGGGTGTGGGACACAACTCCCCAACACAGCCTCCTTTGCAAGAGGGTGCTGCTCCCAGCGCACCGGCGGCCTCAGCGGCTCAACTCCCTGAGCAACCTTCGGCGCCAAGTCCTTCTGGCCCCTCTGCAAAACCAGGGGCGGCCGCTGCGCAGCAACAGTCACTACGCGACGTGCAAGTCGCAGCACTGAGCACACAAGTCAACGAACTTCTTAGTACAGTGCAGGGGTTGGCGCAGGCTCTCGCCGCGCTACAGCCAGCTGCAAGTTCTAGTGAGGCACCGCCTCCACCCACAACGGTGGCGACAACACAAGTGCCCACGTTGAGCTTTTCAGCTCAAGCCGCACCTTTCCTTGTACCAACTTCTCCTAGAGCCGCCTCCGAAGCCAGTTCTGAAAGCTCGTCTTCTTCAGAAAGGTCTCAAAAACCGGCGTGCCGCGTGTGTGGCAGCCGGGCACACCTCGAAGTTGACTGCCAATGCTTTCTTCCAACGGCGGGGGCGGAGGTGGGGGTAGTCCCTCAGGTAGTGGTCCACATTGTCCTCCTCCAGCGTACTCTGTCAAGGGTGCTGCCGAGGGCGCGCCAGTGGAACCGCAAACACCAGCGGACTACGAGGAAACCGTAGTCAGGGTCAAGAGCCTTTCTGATATGACCTTTCCACAGCCTCCCACAAACGCGGGTCAGGCTAGGGGTTATGTTAATCAGGTTCTTGTCGCGATTGCACGCGTTCAACGCACACCGGGAGACGAAGTCTACCTGTGGGCACAGGAATGCCTGACACAGTCAGAAACGCAGTTGCGAGCTGACCCGCGGTTCCCAAGACTCACCCGAGAGATCTCGGCAAAGTTGCTCAAGACCTGCCGTAGTGGTCGGTTTGGACTTTTGTTTCAACAAATGACGGAGTCCGAGCGTATGTCCACTGGAGGCATGCCGAATGGCAGGGTCATGCTTCGTGCCATTTTTAGGCACTTTCAGCTCGAGCGTGACCGGATAGGAATGCTGGGAGAAAGGAATCTCTTAAGCATTAAGATGCAGGGCAACGACGTTGCTGCTCTTGAAGGCTTTAGGGATAGATACCTGTACGTCCTTACCACCATTCCTATCGATGAGCTCCCAAGGCCACAGACCATGTTCAATCATCTTCTCGATGAACTTGAAAAGAACACAGTCATGAGGCCAAGGTGTGAAAAGGCACGAGAGGCAACTGGTGGCAGCCACCGTCGCACGACAGAGTGGTTGTGGAGTAAAGTGGAGTTAGCGCTGCAGCTTCACCAGCAAAAGGTTAACCGAGAGGAGTTTGACAGGAACCTCCGCGCCAAACCTTCTGTGCTTACCTCCACTGCTTCAGCTGGAAGAGACCAGCCCACTGTGCCTGCAAACCCTGCGCCCAACACCACGCCGAAAGGGGCAGCAGACAAGCCGCCGAAGAAAGAAAAGAAAAACAAGACGGCAAAGAAAGACAAGGCCAGAGACAAAGACGACGAGGTCCCCGGAGTGCCTGCCACCAAGGGCAAAGGCAAGGGCAAAGATGACAAGTCTCTCGGGACACCGCGCCAGGGCAACAAGGGCGGTGGCAAAGGCGACACTACGCCACGATCTGCAGAGGTCAAGAGGGTTAAGGACATGACTCCGGCAGAAAAGAAGAAGACGCCTTGCATGTTCTATGCCCACGGCATGTGTAAGGCCGACCCCTGCCCCTTCTTGCATGACGACAAAAAGAAGTACACCGGTCCGCCTCCAAGGGGCGCGGCAAAGCCCAAGGCAAAGGCGAAGGCGAACGCAGCCATCGCAGCGGTTATCCCGGCAATGCCTGCCTGCAACTCGGCCAGCACTGACAGCAATGTCACGTGGCTCTGGGATACTGCAGCGGGGCGTCACCTCATCGGCCGTCAGGCCCTGAGCGCTGATATGCGCGCCTGCGTCCGCGCGACCAGCACGCCCGTAGGTTTTGCTACTGGTGGCGGCGCCCAGCACTGTTCCCAGTCCTTGTCGTTTGGGGGCAGCAAGCTTGTGCCAAAGGAGGAACAGGTCTACGTTCTAAAAGAGTGCCCCCCGGCACTTAGCGTAGGTAAGGCCGTCCAAGACCAAGGGTGTCTCTTTGTGTGGGATCCCAAGGAGTCTGGCCCATACTTCGTTCCTGCCTCCGAAGTGCACCGCTGCAAGCTTAAGGTTCCAAGAGGTGCTAGGCTTAATGCCTCTAGAGTCGTTGAGTACGTGCCACAGTTCGATGAAAGGTTGTCCCCTTTGGTCCACCAGCCCGTCGAGCAGCTAAGCCCCGTCGAGGCTGTTGCTTCTCCAAGTGCTGTTGAGTCGGATGCCGTTTCCCTTGCTGACGAAAGCATCGGGGATGGTGCCGCAGGACATGCAGGGTACGCACCCGCCGAAGTTGCCACCAGCGACGACGAGGAGCACGATGCTGGGTATCTCGAGGAAGCCGAAGACTTTGTCTCTCGCGTTGGGTCACAGCTTTTTAGGGCAAGCGCTGAAGGAAGCGCACCTTCGGGTGCCCGAGAGTCAGCTGCTGTAGAACCTGCTTCTCCCGATCTCTCTGAAATTTTCGGGGAAGGGGCTGCACCAGTCGCCCGCGCGCCTAAGAAGTCTGTGCCGCGTGCCGCTGCTGAAACAGAGGACTCAAGACCTCTGATAGATCTAGTGGACCCAAAGCACTTAGAGCCCTCAAAGAAGGAGACCCTAATGGCTGAAGCTAAGTCTGCGAAGCATCTCCTTACACACTTCCCTAAGAATCCCTATTGCCGCGTTTGCAGTCTTGCAAAAACCACATCTATGAAAGTTGCTAGGAGGCCAGACGCAAAGTCAGATGACCTTATCGACGCGCCCACCGCGCCGTGGCAGCAAATTGCCACTGATGATGTCATCATGGCCCGGGGCGACGACCATAGGGGCATAGGGACAGGAGGGGTGAAATCACACCACGTTGTGAGGGATGTGTTTTCAGGAGCTAGGGTTGCCTACCCTATGTCCCGCAGGACAGCGCAGCATCATGTGAAGAACTTCCGCCACTTCTTTGGTTTGCGTCCTACCTCAAAGCCACCAGTTTGTCTTGTCAAAATGGACGAAGCAGGTGAGCTAGAGGGGGCTGCCTCCGAGGTTGGTTTCATCCCAGAGACTTCGCTTCCAAACAGGTGGCCTCATAACTCGGTTCTAGAGCGTGACGTTAGGGAGGAGAAAGAGTGTTGTAGGAGCATTCACCTTCAGTCGGGCTTGCCTTACGACTTTCACACCTACTCCTTTCCATACGCCTGCCTTTCGCTCTCGTTTGACCGCAGAAGCCACGTTGACAAGGACAAGTCGCAGTGGGAAGTTCTCACCAAGTCCCCCTTTGAAGGCATTCGTGTGTGTTTTGGCCAGCTTGTGTACTACCGCAAGAAGGGTCCATCGACAAGGGCTCTTGATCCGAACCTTCAGCCTGGGTTATTTCTAGGTTGGCGCCTAGACGCAGGCTTGCGGTATAGGTTCGTGACGAAGGTGCTCGACTACACGGAGTTTCGCGCAAAACGCAACACTCTTGTTGTCGACGTCCCTCAGGACGAGCTCTTTGTTGAGGAAGGACCTCCGGTTTTCCCTGTAGCCAACGCAAATCGCCGCGCCCTGATGGAAGGGGCTGCAAAGGGCGAGCTCCCAGACATCCCGCTTAAGGAAGTGCCTTTCCCGCCAGAGGGCAGTAAAGATAAGCCTCCTTTGCGCGAAACAAAGGCAAGGAGTATATCACTGTTGAGCGCATCATTAAGTTTAAGGAGACTCCTGGGTGTAAAGCCTGCTATGGTAAAGCCGCCATTCACACACCTGAGTGCCGAAAGCGTTTTACAGAGCTTGTTGAAAAGGAGCGTAAAGAAAAGGAGGATAGACGCTCTCTGCCTCCAACGCCTGGCCGGTCACTGCCGCCAACTCCCGCCGGAGCTGTGCCTCCAACGCCGGTACCAGAAAGCGTGGCTCCGCCGGCTCCGCCCGCTCCTGCTGCTGAGCCGACAGCGCCTGGCAGGGAGGTTGCTGAAGTGTCCTCTGTCGCCGGCGTCGCCGTTCCTTCTGTAACAGCCACGAGCACCAAGCTTGCCGAAGCAACTGGACATGAGCTTCCAGTGTTTGGTGTTCCCGCCGGTGTTTCTCCCGAGCCCGCTCCTCAAAAGCCTGTCTTCAAGAAAGAAACAAACCGAAGGGCACGCAGGGCGAAGATTAAAGGCAAAGGACTCACCACAGTGCTTGAATACGATTGCCCTCACGGCTCGGTCTTCGGCAAAATCAACACCGAGCTTGGTGTCCCACACCTGCGCCTCTCCAGAAAGTCTTTTGACCTCGAGAACAACTGTGTTCAAACACAGCTCAAAGACCAACTCACCGTGCTCAACAGCGCCCACCTATGGGGTGCTTTGCCAAATATAGTTGGTTTCAGGCGTAGAGACGGCGACGCTGCAAAGAGAAGGTGGTTGTCTCAGCTTGTCAGGTTTCGCAGTTCCTTCCAAGCCTTTACCCTGCAAGCGCAGCACGCTCTTGAGAAAGGTCACGACCTCACGCTCGCGTGGCCTTCCCAGTCAGAGTGTTGGCGTCGCCCAGAGGTTAAGGAGTTCCTTAGCAAGCGCCTCCACTTACTGTGCGAGGTTGAGGTTAAAGGTTGTAATTTCGGGTGGTGGGGCAATGATGATAAGCCGCTTCATGCCTCATTCCGGTTTTACACCACCTCAGCCCGGTTGGTAGAAGCGCTTGTTAAGTTTGAGCAAGAGAACAAAGTGGAAGAATTCTCGAAGAACAAGGGTGTTGCGCAGCAAGTTCCCACGGACCTGCCTGCGCTTTGCCGTCACATCGTGCTCGCCATCAATCCGAGAGCGCAGGCGCCCGTTGCACCTGCCATGCCCGTCATCCCGACGCAGGGGCAGGAAGAGCATCGAGAGAGAGAGCAGACGTTGCGTCACGTCTCGCCTTTGGCAAACTTCGAAGAATTTGCCGCAGTGGTCGAGTCGGACCCGACTTCACAGCGCATCGTGGAGGAGATTGTGGACCTGAATGGTTTAGTGTCACAAGTTTGTGGCCTAAATCAGGATGGGAAGCAGTCAAGTCCAGAGGTTGCTGCTATGGTCACAAAGCTCCTCTCAAGGGCTGAAATGCTCGCCAGCCCAGAAGCCCTCGCTGCTCTCAGAAGCGAAGCCGATGGCCTTAGGTCTGTCCCGGTTTGGGACGAGACGAACCCCAGAGAGTATGCAGATGTGCAAAAAGAGGCCAAGCATACTGGGGCAAAGGTTCATTTTGGCAGGTTAATGACTATAGTCTCGATTAAGTTCTATGAGCTGGCAAAGCACTTGCAGAAGCTCAAAGGACGTATCGTCTATAGGGGTGACTGCGCCAAAGATGAGTATGGGGCGGCAGCTGTATACCAGGAGCTGGGTGCCAATCCCACTTCTGTCCAGGGGCTCAACAACTGCCTTGCGTACGGCGCCCTTCAGGGGCATGCCACCACGACTGCAGATGCTATCAAAGCATATGTGCAAGCATTGCTAAAATCAAAGCATCAGACGTGGATCGAACTTCCACCTGAACTCCGACCAAAGTGGTGGAGAGAGAAGTTCGCCCGGCCCGTTGTGTTGCTACTCCGTGCGCTCTATGGCCACCCAGATGTAGGGGCCTCGGGGGCAAAGAGGTGCCAGAGTTTCCTGGAAACTATTGGTTCGCCAATCGCAGGCTTCTCTTGTCGACCTATGTTGACGACCTGACGTTGTCAGGCCCAGTAGAAGAGCACCAGGCCTTCTGGGACGAGTTAACAGCTCTGGTCGATGTTGAGCCACCGGAGCCCGTCTTCCGTGTTTTGGGGCGCAACCACTACATCGTTGATGTAGATGGTGAAGGCGAAAGTTCAGACTTACCGTCCGTTGCCGCCGCTAAGGACGCAATGTCGTTTGACATGGTCGATTACGCGCAACAGACCGTAAACCTATACTTGTCTTTGACAGGCTCCAAGAAGCTGAAGAACGTCCAAACGCCCTTCTGCCCTGAGGGGTCGCTGCCACCATCAGATGATGAAGTCACTGGTGAGCTTGCGCCCGCTGCCTGTAAGTTGCTAATGAAAGCATTGTGGTTGGGGCGGCTGTCGCGCCCAGACATAATAAAGCCTATTGGTGACTTGGCAACCTGCGTGCAGAAATGGTCCCGCAACAACGACCGCCAGGCACATCGACTCATTTGCTACATAGATAGCACAAAGTATCATCGCTTGGTGGGGCATGTTGGAGACAGCCCAGATGATCTAAAGTTGTCTTTGTATGTAGATGCAGACTTTGCCGGCGAAAAAGCCCACGCACGCAGCACCTCAGGGGGGTACTTAGTGCTTTCAGGCCCTAATACGTTCTTCCCCTTGGCTTGGGTTAGTAAACGCCAGACTGCAACGTCCAGATCCACCACGGAATCTGAGATAGTCTCGCTGGCCTACTCACTTTATGGCGAAGGGCTTCCAGCCCTTAGCTTGTGGGATACGCTTCTTGGCAGAACCATGCAGATGACTGTCCATGAAGACAACCAAGCAACAATCATCATAGCTCGCAAGGGGTCCTCCCCAAAGCTTCGCCACATCTCAAGGACGCATAAAGTCAACTTGTCTTGCCTCGCAGAGCAACTTGAAGAAGGCTCGGGTGTCGATATCCAGTATGTTGACACCAACCTTCAAGCAGCAGACATTTTCACGAAGCAGCTTTCCTCTGCCAAGTGGGACAATGCGATCCGCTTGTTGGGGTTGCGCACCAAGATGCCCAAAGAGCTTGTTGATAAGCGCATGTTGTCTTCAAAACCAGGAGCAGCGCCCAAGTCTTCTAAGACATAGGGGATGCACCAACGCTTGAACGTTGCGCCGCATTACAGTTCTTCTGTGCCAGTTTACTTCCAGACTCGAAGTCGTTAGTCCGGGCGAGCTGGGAGGGGCAGCTTTCAGCGCCCGCACTTATAGAACCCGTGCGAGGCAGCTTCGCTGTAACTCCCGCTTGCAAGCCCCGGCCTGCCGCACTACCATGTGCACGGCGAGGGGGGAGTTAAGAAATAGCGACCCCTTAGCACCTAGTAGTGGTGTAGTAAGTCATAGCTACTGGGCCCTCGTGGTAGTGAGGTGTAGGCCATCCTTTGCATGTAGTTTCACTTAGCGAATGACAATGTATTTGGCTCAAGGCACATAGAAAAAGGTGAAGGTCTAATGCAGTTAAATGACTGCGGTAGGCCTCCCCGGTTGTGTCTTGTTCTCTTAACTCCCTTAACCCTTAACCCTAAACCCTAAACCCTAAACCCTAAACGGGTTGAGGCGTTTATCAGGAGATGGAGCTCAGGGTCGTGGCGGCACGGGGCCTTCTGTATGGGAATCTCTGTGAGACCCTCTTAGTCACCCTGCCACCTACACATGGGTCTAGAGGGTTAGGGTCTAGGGTTTAGGGTTTAGGGTTTAGGGTTTAGGGAGATAGGATTAGAAATTCGTTGATTCACAGAATATAACTTAGTCGATGTATAGCTCACGCTTGACAACGGCGGTGAGTTCGAACCCTGAAGCCTGAAGCCTGAACCCTAAACCCTAAACCCTAAAGTTAGGGTTCTTGGCAGAGCCCTTGAAAACCCGTGAGAAAACCTCAAAAACCCTTTGCTTTGCCGAGGCAGCGGGCATGGACCCAGCGCTGCGACCGCAGTGGGGGTTTAGGGTTTAGGGTTTAGGGTTTAGGGTTTAGGGTTTAGGGTTTAGTGTTCAGCATTTAGCATTTAGGGGCGCTTTGCGCTGTCGGGTCAGATGAGGTTTAGGGTTTAGGGCTTAGGGTTTAGGGTTTAGCATTTAGTGTTTAGGGCGATTTACGCTGTCGGGTCAGATGAGGTTTAGGGTTTAGGGTTTAATTAGGGCTTAGGGTTTAGGGTTTAGAATTTAGTGTTTAGGGGCGATTTACGCTGTCGGGTCAGATGATGTTTAGGGTTTAGGGTTTCGGGTTTAGGGTTTAGGGTTCCAGGTCGTCAGCTTGCAGTTTTGGCAGCCTGAAGCCCCGAGCCCGAAAAAGAATGCCCAAGGGCTGTACCGTTTCGCTCAGTTCCGGATACTTGTTTAAGCCTTTAAACCCTAAACCCTCAACCCTCAAGCCTGAACCTAATCTCTAAAGAATTGCTTTGCTGCTTTGCGGCTATAGGCTGTTTGGGGTGTTAAGGATGTGGGGCTCATGACGGTTCAGTTGAGGGCTTGCAGGAGTTCGGGCAGAAGTTCTGGAGGGCCCCAAACCCTAAAGTCTAAACCCTAAACCCTAAACCCTGAACCCTGAACCCTGAACCCTGAACCCTGAACCCTAAACCCTAAACCCTAAACCCCAAACCCTAAACCCTAACCCTCAACCCCATTTCGCATCTGCTCATCTCTGTGCAAGAATCTTCTCACGAGAGTGCTCTGGTCGGGCGGTATCGAGGGTAGACGGTCAGGGTCTCGAAGTGGGGATTTACGACAATGGGGGCCCCCCAATATAGATCCCCAAAGAATCGGGTTCCCTTATAAAATCGACCCCAGCAAGGTACCCCGAAATTCGGAAACCCCCAAATCAAGGCGCGTGGTGTCTTAACGCGTAAGCCTTAAACTTTCATCCCAAAGCCCGAAGCCCTTGAACCATAAGCCCCTAAACCCTGGACCCTTGGCCCTGCATGAACCCCCAAACCCGCCACGAAGCCCGAGGACGCCGCCGCCGCTGCCGCTGCGGAGATCGCTGGTCGCGCGGCCGCGGCGCCTCGAGTGGAATGGTGGTTTTCGTTGTTTTTCATGCTTTAGGGTTTAGGGTTTAGGGTTTAGGCTTTTGGGTTAGGGTTTATAGGGTTTAGGTTCAGGATTGAGGGTTTTGGAGTTCAAAAGTTTGTTCTGGGGGGCTTGTCTTAATCGTTGGCCATCAATATGGGTTTTCCGGGATGCTTAGAGGTGGGTTTACTTTTTAAGGTTTGGGGGGTTTAGGGTTTAGGGTTTGGGGCTTGGGGTTTGGGGTTTGGGCGGACAGCTTAGCACTTCCATGATTCAGGGGGATGCTTGGCCTGGGTTTGAAGTCAGGAAGGTTGTCCAAAAGTATGTTAGGGGTTTAGGGTTTAGGGTTTAGGGTTTAGGGTTTAGGGTTTAGGGTTTAGGGTTTAGGGTTTAGGGTTTAGGGTTTAGGGTTTAGGGTTTAGGGTGTTTCAGGTTGGGCGTGGGGTGTTGGCGAGTGGGTTCGCGGGGAAGTTCAGGGGTTTAGGTACATACGACCCATCTCCTGCCTACTGCGGCAGCATGGCGTGTTTAGGACTTTGGGCTTCTGTCGGTCGTGCCCTGAGGTCATATCCGGCTCAGGGAGCATTGAACGATTAGGGTTTAGGGTTTAGGGTTTAGAGTTTAGGGTTTAGGGTTTAGGGTTTAGGGCTTGGGGAATGTGCTGCTGTAACTCAACCTGGCTGGGGTGTTACGTGCACATAGACATTGACACTTCATATTTCGCTGCCGAACACAAGATATGAGGCACGGATAGAGTCAGCGAGTCAACGACCTTGTTGTGGGCTTCATACCCAAAACCCTAAACCCCAAGCCGATCGAACGCTCCCCATCAAGCCGCTTCAACCCCTGAACCCCTTTAGGACCAACACCCTGAACCCTCTTTGAGCCCATCAAAGGCCATCAACACTCTTCAAGATTCAAGCCCCTCAACCTACGTAAACCGCTCGATCCCTAGCAACCCGAAGCCAAAAAACCCTCAAAAACCCTAAAAAAAACCAAAACCTCTACACCCGAAACCCTAAACCCAAAGCCCTAGGCTTAAAAGCCCTTAACCTTGAAGCCCTTGAGCCCCTGACCCAGCACCTTAAACTGAAAGCCCAACGCCGAACGCCCTGAACCCCCAAAACCCAAAGCCCTAAGCGTGCCTAGACCCTGAACCTCAACTATAGGCCACTTAGGAATGAGTCTTTTAGATAAATCAAATCAGAGCAAAACCCAAGATCATTTTCAACATAGCATGTTTCTTTAAGGTTCTAAGTTGAGTATAGTCAAAGCCCCCCTAAACCCTAAACCCTAAACCCTAAACCCTAAACCCTAAACCGAGAAAGGAGCTCTTACTCCGGAGCGCTCCGGACAAGGCAGCTGCTGAGGCCGCTGCCCCGCGTTTGAGGTGTTGGGATGCCTATATCGGCCCTAAACCCTAAACCCTAAACCCTAAACCCTAAACCCTAAAACTAAACCCGAATGGTTGAGGGCGCTTCTTTTTTCAGGGCATTTTTGGGCTTCTAGGGTTCAGGATTTTGGGTCTAGGGTCGACTGCGAGACCCTAAACCCTAAACCCTAGTTGTTCCCCACCCTCGGTGTGGGGTTGTTAGATTTTAAACTCAACTTTTCTCCTCGCCCGGAACTCTTCTCCTCGCCCGGTCTACTCCTCGCTCATCCCTGGAGTGCCCAATCCCAGACCGAGAGTTACCTGGAGTGCCCAACCCCAGAGTGTCCCCGGAGTGGCCAGCCCCAGAGTCTCCCTGGAGTGCCCAACCCCAGTGCCCAGCCCCAGAGTGTACCTGGAGTCCAGAGCATCTCTACCAAGATAGGGTGGGGACGTTCGAGGTAAAATAATTTTCGTGCCTTTCCTGTCGATGCTTGAGTCCAATCCTCCAACGACGCATAAGGATTCCAGCAAGACAACCTCACATCCCAAACTCCAAGCCCGAAACCCTATAAACCCACACCCTAAACCCTAAACCTCCCACACCATGACCCTGAACCCTATAAGCCCCATGAACTCTATAGACGACAACCAAACCCTATGAACCCTCTAATAACCCTACTCCCGACAAGCCCTAGAAACTATTAATCCCATAAAGCCCTATTGACCCCATAACATTTCCCTAAACCCGAAACCCGAAACCCTAAACCCTAAACCCTAAACCCTCCTAGCCCTTCCCTGAGGCTGCGTTGACTGCGCTTCGTGCGGCCAAGGCGGCGGGCATGGCCAAGGAGTCTGGGCCCCGGACCCGTGTTAGGGTTTAGGGTTTAGGGTTTAGGGTTTAGGGTTTAGGGTTTAGGGTTTAGGGTTTAGGGTTTAGGGTTTAGGGTTTAGGGTTTAGGGTTTAGGGTTTAGGGTTTAGGGTTTAGGGTTTAGGGTTAGGGTTTAGGGTTAAGTTTACGCGCTGCGCTCCTGCTTGCGGGCACTACGGCTGAGGCTTCTAATAAGAAATCTGTCTTTTTCAGCCAGGGTTTCGAAATTTCTTAAAACCCCAAATGGAAATAAGAAAGTTAGGTTTGAACCAGACCCTGAAATATATTTCTTATTCGAGGGTTGATTAGAGGTGAGTATAGGGACAGAGTTGGGGAACATGTAACTCACTAGTGTAGAGCTTTTCAGTGTGCTCTAAACCCTAAACCCTAAACCCTAAACCCTAAACCCTAAACCCTAAACCCTAAACCCTAAACCCTAAACGCGGGGAAGAGGCCCGGGCCCGGCACAAAAAGTCACCTTTTTTGTGCCTTTCCGGCCTGAAACACCTCAAAAAAGGTGACTTTTTGTGCCGGGCCTCTTCCCCGCAAGAGCCCGGCACAAAAAGTCACCTTTTTTGGGCCTTTCCGGCCTGAAACACCTCAAAAAAGGTGACTTTTTGTGCCGGCCTCTTCCCCGCAAGAGCCCGGCACAAAAAGTCACCTTTTTGGGGCCTTTCCGGCCTGAAACACCTCAAAAAAGGTGACTTTTTGTGCCGGGCCTCTTCCCCGCAAGAGCCCGGCACAAAAAGTCACCTTTTTTGGGCCTTTCCGGCCCCAAGCACCTCAAAAAAGACGGGCCTCTTCCCGCAGGAGCCCGGCACAAAAAGTCACCTTTTTTGGGCCTT